TGCAGCACACTGCTGGCTCATATTTAAGTGATTGTCCACTAGGACTCCGAGATCCCTCTCACAGTTACTACTATTGAGCAAGGTACCCCCTATATTATACCTGTACATTTGGTTTTTCTTGCCTAAATGTAGAACCTTACTTTTTTCACCATTGAATTTCATTTTGTTAGATAGCGCCCAGTGTTCAAGTCTGTCCAGATCCTCCTGTATCTTAAGCCTGTCTTCTGGAGTGTTGGCTATTCCTGCCAGCTTGGTGTCATCTGCAAATTTGATGAGTTCCCCATCTATCCCCTTGTCCAAATCGTTGATGAAGATGGTGAAGAGCACTGGACCTAGAACAGAGCCCTGGGGCACCCCACTATACAGTTCCCTCCATGTAGATGCAGTTCCATTGAGGACCACACACTGAGTATGGCTGGTCAGCCAGCTACGAATCCATCTGTTGGTGATGCTGTCTAACCCACTTTTTTTCTATCTTATCGAGTAGTAGGTTGTGATCTACTTTATCAAATGCCTTACTGAAGTCCAAGTAAATTATATCCACAGCATTCCTCTGATCCACTAATTTTGTCACTTGGTCAAAGAATGCAATAAGGTTTGTCTGGCATGATCTATTTTGGACAAACCCATGTTGGCTTTTAGTAGTGATTTTGTTTGCCTCTAGGTGTTCACTGATTCATTGTTTGATTATCTTTTCCAGAATCTTCCCAGGTATTGAGGTCAGGCTGATAGGTCTGTAGTTTCCTGGATCCATTTTTTTTTTCCTTTTTTGAAGATGGGAACTACATCAGCTCTTTTCCAGTCCTCTGGTAGTTCCCCAGTGCTTCAGGATCTTCGAAAAATATAGTTCAGTGGTTCTGAGATCACATCTGCCAGTTCCTTGGGGTGTAATCCATCTTGTCCTGGTGATTTGAACTCGTCTAGGCTGGACAGGTGCTCACTTATCATTTTCTTGCCTATCTTAACTTGTGTAGAAACACAAGTTAACATACTGTTTTTTATGGCACTATTTTTGATAGGTTGGTCTGTTTTTTCCCTTTGTGTAAAGACAGATGCAAAAAATGAGTTAAATAGTTCTGCTTTCTCCCTATTGCTTGTCACCTTCTTGCCACTTTTGTCCACTAATGGACCAATCATTTCCTTCACTTTTTTCTTGTTTTTTACATGTTGAAAGAAGCTTTTTTTGTTGTTATTTTTGACTTTGGTCGCAAGCCTTAGTTCATTATGTGCCTTAGCTTTCCTCACTTCATCTTTGCAGGCTCGGGCTATTTGTTGATATTCTGATTTAGTTATGTGCCCCTATTTTCACTTTCTATACTTGTCCTTTTTATCTTTCAATTTATCAGAGAGTTCTTTATGCAGCCATGCTGGTTTCTTTTGAGAGCTGTTATTTTTCCTCTTTGTTGGTATTGTGCTAGACTGGGAACATAAATCCCTGTCCGCTGCACTTCAATTCAATGTTTACTAGATATCTTTCATTATATCCAAGATGCACAGTACCCTGTAAATGCTTGCCATGAGTATTAAGAACCATATAGATACTGATGAATACTATAATCATCTGAAAATGTCTCATTCTGAGGTCCCATCGAGTAATGCATTAAGAATATGTTTCTGTGTTTCAGTAAGAACAATGCCCCAGGCATGACAAAACTAACAAACTGATTCCTTTATTTTTCATCTTCTGCACCCAGAAAAAACCACGTTCACTGTGTAATGACAAATGTCATTCTGGTTCTAGTAGGGCCAAAATAGAAGGGAAGCCCTTTTGCTGCTATGAGTGCTCTCCATGTCCAGAAGGGAAGATTACAAGTAAGAAAGGTAAGGTTTCTTCAGTTTAGAAATATTAACCATTCCATAAAAACCTATGTAGTTAGAAAAAATGTAAGGTAAACACTTTATGTTTATGTGAGAGGAGTGAAATGAAGGAAAATATTTTATCTCCTCCTAATTACCTTCCCAGGAACAATGAACCTTGTCATCTCACCCCCAAGACATCCAGCCAATTAATGTTGATAAAAATAGCCAGACAAATATCAAGAAGAAGGCAACTAAAGGAAGTTTAATATTAGCTCTAGATAGAAATTAAATTCATGAAATATTGTCTACTTGTTCTCTCAAAATCAGCATTTCCTTTGCAATTCTCCTCACTTCCTCACTGAAGGTCTCTAAACAGTCAAAAACTGTGCTGCTCTATCCAGTAAATATACATATTCTAATTTGCATACATTTAGATTAAAGACTTGCAGGTTAGCCAGGCTAATTACAGTTCTCCATTTTTAAACTTCAGAAAACATGTGAGATGAATTTTCTTTAGTTACTTTCCTCCCCCCAGAATCTGTTCTTTTCTGCAAGTTTGAAAATGACACCTTGAGATATTATGTCTGTGGTATACATATATTTAGAATGAGCTAGGAATTTATCTTCAAACCATTGAAATAAAAGACATTTGCTTTCACTGTGTATCTTTCACGTAATATGTATGGCTTCATGTGCCACCTTATTTTAATATTTTTAACTATGCAAATAAGCTAAACATTAAAAAATACTATGGTCCTCTTTTGTATCAAATATTAAGTAGATTAATCAAAGAGTTAATCTTAATTGTTCAATTCTATACTGTTTACAGAGCTGGTCTATTAGTGCCCTTATGATAGCTAATGATTCCATAAGACTCAGGGAGCCTCCAATTGAAGTATTAATTAGAGCTCATTGGCTAAATTATTATTTTTTCAATATTTCTTATGTCTTCATTAATACTGTGTCTTCTACATTGTAATAATAGTAAAATATTCATTCATTCATTTGTTCATTCATTCATTTCCACAGATATGGATGACTGTTTGCCATGCCCAGAAGTACAGTATCCAAACAACAACCATGATTCATGTCTTCCAAAGCAGATAGTTTTCCTTTCTTATGAAGACCCCTTAGGAACCAGTTTGGCCATTACGGCAATTGCCTTTGCTTGTATTGCCATTGTGGTGCTTGGGATATTCATCAAATACCAGGACACTCCCATAGTCAAGGCCAACAACCGGAACATCACCTACCTTCTCCTCATCTCCCTTGTGCTCTCATTCCTTTGCAGTTTATTATTCATTGGAAAACCTGAAAAGGTGACCTGCCTTTTGCGACAAACTGCTTTTGGGATTGTCTTCTCAGTAGCCATTTCTTGTATATTGGCCAAAACCATCATTGTGATTTTAGTTTTCATGGCTTCAATACCAGGTTCAAAGATGAGGCGATGGCTAGGCAAACCATTAGATAATTACATTGTTGTTTCTTGTTCCCTCATTCAAGTCACTTTTTGTGCTATATGGCTTGTAACCACACCTCCATACCCAGATGCTGATATCAACTTAATGGTAGATGAAATCATTCTAGGATGTAATGAAGGCTCTAGTCTCATATTTTACTGTGTCTTGCTCTACCTACTTTTCCTTGCCATTGTTGGCTTCTGTGTGGCTTTCAAAGCACGGCATTTACCAGACAGTTTTAATGAGACCAAGTTTATCTTCTTTAGCCTGTTATGTTTTTGTAATGTCTGGTTTTCTTTTTTCCCAACATATCTGAGCACCAAAGGGAAATACATGGTGGCTGTGGAGGTCTTTTCCATTCTCTCTTCCAGTGCAGGGTTACTGGGCTGCATATTTTTCCCCAAATGCTTTGTCATTCTACTAAGGCCTGATCTGAATACTAAAAAACAATTAATGAGAGGCAAGAAAGAAGAAATATAAAAACATGACTATTTCAATGAATTATACATTGACTGAAGCTCAAAAAATGGAACTGGTGCAGAATGAAGCCATTGCATGTCATGGGAATTCTCTTATTACTTCTGAGTGCTTTAGACACTTATCAATTTCTCCTATCCTGGTCCCCCAAACAAATTAGTGAAACAAATTATGACCTTAGAGATCCCCATCCCTACTCTAATAAATGGGGTGGTGCTGTGGTTCAGCGGTTAAAATGCTGGGCTTAAGTGAGTCATGTCCTCACCCCAGCTCCTGCCAACCTAACAGTTCAAAAGCATACAAATGCAAGTAGATAAATAGTGAGAAGGAACAGTGCTGCATGATGTCATGACCATGGAAATGTCTTTGGACAGTGATGGCTCAATGGCCTTGAAATGGAGATTAGCATCGCCCCCTATAGATGGCAATGACTAGTGAAGTAAAATCTAGAGGGATTCCTTTACTTTTTTTTAACTCTGATAAATAGAATATAAACAATGAAACACTTATTCCCCATAAATAATATTTTCATTTTCTTTCCTTCCTTCTAAATGGCTTTATGTAATTATATGGAGAAGACTTTAATATGCTGAACTGTAGGAGCTCTGAGAAAAATGATCACAATACTCAAATTACATTGTCATATTCCTGGTCATCCAATTGGTGGTTGCTCTGTTTTTACCCAAACCACCTTTAATCATGGGATTTATGGAAAAAGGAAGTGGTCTATAGATAATTGAAGATCCAGATGCAAGCCCACCAGTGTTTAATTCCAGATTCTCCATAAACCTTGTTCATAGATGTTGCACCATATCTACATCCTGCTAATACTTGATCCATACTCTTTCTCAATCCATAAACCAACACAGGAAAGCAAGGCTATATGAACAATTTATTTTACTTCTATGTAACTTCACCAGTGTTGTGATAGTAACTGATAATCATTTTCAACTTACCTAATTAGAGAGTCAGTCTTTATCTTCTCACAATAGTGAAAACTAGTAAATATTATGAGGAGCAGATACTTTTTACTTTTTTAAACATCTTATGATGTTTGTATGCCCTGTTTCTTTTACCAAACTATAGTTATTTCACTGAAATGGGGGGTTAAATGTGAACAATTTCACATATTTTATGTGACCTCGATGAAGCAGATAATTATTTTGCTTGGAAAACTGAGATTACCCACATATTAAATGTTTAAAAATTTAAAACTAATTTAAAATTTTAAATTTTAAAAATTTAAAAATTTTTAAAACTAATTTAATACTCATCAAATTTTGCCCAGGTACTACAATAGCAACTGAAAATTTGTTTCTTCTGCAAGGTGATATGTTCTAAAGTTCTTTTGCTCTTTTTTTCTTTTCCTTTTTTCTTGATTTTTGTTATGAGTAATAATATATCTTTTTTCATATGAAGATATGTGCCATCTAAAAAAGGCTAGGTCTATTCTTATTTCATAGCATATCTACAAAGCAACATATCTTTCATGTTGTGAAATCTATCAGCCACTTGAAAAATGTGGAATTTCCTATCCCTCCATTTATCTTGTTAGAAAGCATTGGATCCTTATCTACACATCTTCTGAACCTGGAGCTTCTCTAGATCATTATTGTTCAGATGCTCCTAATGATTGGTTTTACATTCCTCTACTTAGCATTGGAGCCCATCTACCTTATAGTGGCTGTTCATTCTCTTGGACAGTCAATAATTCAGTGAAGAACTAGCCATAAGGAACTTCTCTGGTTTCCCCAAATTTCTAGGATGATTTGAGGAAGAAACAAAGAAGAAATATATTTCTGTCAAATTGTTTTAGTGAGTGATATTCAGATAGTCCTTGTTTAGCCACTGCCTTATTTGGCTATTTTCATTTCTCTTGCACCACATTCTAATAGGTAATTAATCCTCAGTTTGGTATTTAAGTATTGTTGCAGAACCTGTTCTCTTGTCTTCTTCCTGATAAACTGTGAAAATATATCTTAACTTTGCAAATTTTCTATTAATTCTATACAGTTTTTCCAGTTCTTGGTATCTTCTCTATACCATTCCAAAACTATTTTTAGAGATTCAATAATTTTCTCTCTGATGTCTACATCAGGTTTCTCTGGAATTTTCCTGTCTTAGAAATTATTTCTATCTTACCTTACCTTATCTTACCTTACCTTGTCTTCTTATTTTATCTTCTCATCTCATCTCACCTGTCTTCTTATCATCTTAGTTGATTTTTCTCATCTCATCTTAGTTGATTTTTCTTGGTGTGGGTTTTTTATGCTAATGATAAACTTTGTTCACCTCTGGACCCTTGCCTGGATGCTCCTAACCACTGTTTAATGTAAATATCATATCACTGTCAACTCTGCAATGAAGCCACCTTACTCATTTTCGGTTGCTACAAGAATGGGGGAGGGATGTGGAGTTTTAGGCTAGTCTAAACAATTCTCTGTCCCATGGGAACCAAGGTCATTTCTGTTTGTTAGGCTGGGCGTTGAGTCTTATGTTAGAAAGCCCGCCAAAATATTCTGTGGGGAAACATAGTTGATTGCATAGTTTCTGGAGTGGGAACTTTAACTTTGCAATAATGTATCTTTTTGGAGGGAACTTTAGTTTTGGTTTCACTTTTGACCATGCCAATACTTTGTAACCAATAAACATGTCATTAGAGGAAAACTCAAGCCTCGGAGTTCTGTTTTAGTTGGTCTCATCTGACATTCACCTTCCTTAATTCTGGGAATAGCTTTGCTTGAAATGTATCTTAAAGATGCATCTTTTCCACTAGTGTGTGAGAGACATTTGTTGTCAGTCTATGGAGTGTTTCTTTTCCAACTCTTGCTGCAGGTATTAAAGCAATGTTACTACTTGCAATTAAAAGGAACTGCTAATAATCATGGCTAAAGTTAAACTATAGCTTACAAAAGCCTCTCATTATTAATAAAAAATAGGCAGATATCCACTTTCTACAATGTCTACAGTGGAAGATTCAATTATAAAAATAACTGAACTTGCAGAAATGGCAAATATGTCTGTCTGGTTAGAGAAAGAACAACCACATTTCTATAAGGCTGGAAATTTTATATGTCTGTTTTGTTGAAAGAAGAAAATATCAAATTTAAGATTTCTGGAACTGAGAAGTAAAAGGGCCAGAAAGAATGGAGAAAAGTATGAGATGTTAATTACTCAACAGAAAGAAGCACAGAAGACAACTATGTTTGTTTCCCTTTTCATTCAGTTTCTTTTTCTCACTTTCAAACTCTGTTTATTTTTTTTATATTATACTGGATACATACTGTAATACAAACAGTATAATAATAATAATAATAATAATAATAATAATAATAATAATAATAATAATAATAATAATAATAATAATAATAATAATAATAATAATAATAATAATAATAATAATAATAATAATGTTGGAAGGTACCTTGGAGGTCATCTAGTCCAGCCCCAGCTCAGGCAGGAAACCGTATACCATTTCAGACAAATGGCTGTCCAATCTCTTCTTAAAAATTTCCAGTGTTGGAGCATTCACAGCTTCTGGAAGCAGGTTGTTCCACTGATTAATTGTTCTAACTGTCAGGAAGTTTCTCCTTAGTTCTAGGTTGTTTCTCTCTTTGGTCAGTTTCCATCCATTGTTTCTTGCCTTCAGGTGCTTTGCAGAATAGCTTGATTCCCTCTTCTGTGTGGTAGCCCCTGATATATTGGAACACTGCTAACATGTCACCCCTCGTCCTTCTCTTCATTAAACTAGACATACCCAATTCCAGCAACTGTTCCTTATATTTTTAGCCTCCAGCTCCTTAGTCATTTTCTCTGTACCCTTTCTAGAGTCTCAACATCTTTTTTACATCATGGTGACCAAAACTGGATGCAGTATTCCAATTGTGGTCTTACCAAGGCATGTAAAGTAGTATTAACATTTCATGTGATCTTGATTCAATCGCTCTGTACATACTGTATGTACTGAATATTGTACATACTGTAATACAAACACACACAGAGAGACATATGTATATATACAAAAATCAGTAGAGCTGAGGATACCCAAAATGTGGGAATAACCTTACCACAGAGAGCAGGCACTGCTACAGACAATTCATTCATGGAGATAGATTGGGAAGATGCCAACTGAAGTGTCATAAACATCAACATGTTGGCTCTGAAATGTTTTGAGAGAACATAGAATACAAAATTGGTAAATATTCCCCCATCACACTGTAATTATGACATAACTGTAATTAATGCTGTGCAGTATCTTCCTACTTCATGAACATTCTCTCAGGATAGGAGGATAAGTGAACAGTCAAGTATTCTAATATCTCATGTTATATTGATATGAACAATGATCTCATGTTCCCTTTCATGAGGGATGAGACAGGCAGAATTACACTACTAGGATTATTGGTAGTACATTCTATATGATTCTGGCTTTCAATCAGCTGAGTAATGCCATGTGAATTACCAACATTAAAAGAATCAATGAGGGGTCAGACTAAATGGAATAAAGCAGGAAGAATCTCTGGTAAAATCATGTTATGTTTGGCACTGATGATAGTCCTAGCAGTTGTACTTTATGGTCAGAGAATGATTCCTCTGACTAAGTGTCTTATTAAGGCACCTCTGCCTATTCTCCACAAGTATTATCAGCCTGGGGACTTTATCATTGCTAGCATTACCTCTCAAGTCTACATTTTTTCCAGTCCTATAACATTTCAGAAGCAGCCTTCTGATGAAACTTTTGATGACCTTTTGTAAGTACTGTAGCCTGAAAAATGAAATACATCTTCTATTTTTCTAGATAGATAGATTTCACACTAGTTACATTCATGTAGGGGTTTAATCTAAAGTTCCAAATTAAAATAAGAGATGAGGATAGCAGATTTTATTCAGCACTTTGCAGTATAAAAATTTCTATTTTTTATTTTTATTGAAAATTGCAAGTTGTAAAGGTATGGCAGTATCTTCAGCATTCAGAATCTTCCTATTATCATCTCCTATCATGAATGTTGGACATAATCACCTATAATATAAAAATTATCTTCTATTTTGAAGGACTGAAAAACCATTAAGAAAAGTATACTAAAATGAAATTCTGGGGAAAAGATATTCCTCTGGGGGGGGGAATGCTATGTCTGTCTGTCTGTCTGTCTGTCTGTTTGTCTGTCTGTCTGTCTGTCTGTCTGTCTGTCTGTCTGTCTGTCTATCTATCATCTTTCTTTCTTTCTTTCTCTACCATCTATCTATATATATATATATGTAAAGTTAGAATATAATAAACATAATAATATAGATATATCCCTTTCAATTTATATTATATATTAAAAGGGAACAACAATTGGGCAAAGCAAGTTTAACAATATTAAAATACAAAAAAACTAATAAGTGGAAAAGAATGCAAAGAAAGAAAAGCGAAAGCAATGTATCACATTTTGTGATTCCTCTTTTTTAATATCTGCTGATTTGCAATATATTATAAAACTGTTATTGATTTCAATTAATCCAAATCTTCCTAGGCATGTAGTTTAATATAAATTTGCCCTTTCGCTTTAACTCTGTACAGCAGTTATATATTCTTGTCCCAATTTCCATTCCTTTAACAGAAGCTTGTGTCCTATTGTTTTAATCATGCATTTTGTCTTTTCATTTATGGAACATTTTGTTTCATTTTTATGGATAATTTCATCCATTGGCATGTATACTTTATATAGTATGTTTCAAACCTATTCCATACAATGAGTCTCCTATTTTCAAGGGGCCAGTTATGAGAATGATGGTGTCAAGGTAGAATTAGTAATAAGATCTAAAGAATGTGGTAATTTGGAACCTATTGCTCATAACATAGGATGTTCACTCAGAATTACCAGCATATCCTGGCCTTGGTATTTGCTGTGAAGGAACTCAATGGGAATCCTCAAATCTTACCCAATGTCAGTTTGGGCTTCCACATCTTAAACAGCTATTTTTTGGCAAGGTGGACCTATCTTGCCTCAATGGAACTTCTATCCACACAGGACAAGTTCATCCCAAACTACAAATGTGATATTCAGAATAGGATTGTGGGAGTCATTGGGGGACCTACTTCTGAAGTTTGTCTCCACATGACAAACATCCTGAGCACCTACAAGATTCCACAGGTAAAAAAAGATATGAAAGATATAGGTTTATTACATTTAAGTTATTTCATAAGTGGGAGGCAGAAAATGGAAATCTTATTAATTCTGTAGATGATGTATTTATGAAGCACTGAAAATAGTTGGGTACTGAATAAATTGGCACACTTCGATGTATTTATAATCAATTAGAATACAGGTAGTCTGTAACTTATGATTGTAAGGTATCCTGGAATTTCTATCCTAAGTCATGACAAGAGTGGGTTGAAGCACATATATGACCAGCCAGTTTCCAACATGAAACTTTGTAAATTGTGTTGTGCGATTGAGGAATGCTGTTATGCAGGCTTGATAGGTGCAACTCAGTGGGAAATAAAAGCCGGAGCCTGGTTTTGTTTTGATAAACGCATTTATTCAGCTGAATAAAGACAGGTCATCCCTAAAAGTAGAGGAACCCTGAGCACAGTGTAAGGCAGATATTTATACATTTCTTTGCTTTCTCTTGGTTACATAAGAGGAAGCTGGCATACAATAGATAAGGTAAGAAATATAGAAATTGTAAAAATTGTCAAGCACACCTTCTGTGGTTTTGGTCATGTGCCTGATTTACTTTGGAACTTTCCATGGTATCAAAGGCCTGCTGAGGCATGAACTTCAGCCTTGCCATCTCAACATAAGAGCAAACATCAAATTTATCAGATTCCTGATCAACAATGCTGCAATCCACTGAAATGGTGAGTTGCTTACCAACTGCCTAAAATACATTAATGTGACTACAGAGGAGGTTACACCATCAGAATTCTAGAATTGAGTTGTAAGTATCCAGAGCTTAAATATCGTGTAAGGAGTACAAATCCTTTCATTCCCCTATCATCCAGTCAGAGCTGAGAAACAAAACATCCTCAAAGAAAAACAAGTTTCCTCGTGAAAAAGCATCTTTGGGATAATTATGACCTGGATAACTGAGAATCTTCATGGACATTTAAGGATTTCCTGTAGTTGGCAATAATCCATCCATATGTCACTATAGATTTTGCATTTGCTGAGAAACATTGATTTGGAGTTTTTGAAAAAAGCTTTGGAAAGTCCAATTGCATGCATGAAGGCGTTGTTTAATAACAAAATGTCTTAAGAATGCATAATAGTTCCTGAAATACCTGTGATTTACAAAAAAATATATTGCTTTGGACATTTGTCATAAGAAATATTTAAATGATCAGAAAATTAAATAAGATAAAAATCTGAAAAGAAAAAAAAGAGTGAAACCAAGTTCTTTTCAACTAAGAGTATGAGAATATTCATTTTAATTGTGTCTGACCTCTTTCCATTTTTTTCAAGATCTTATATGGGTCTTCTTCAATAATAAAAGACAAAACCAAAGAAGATTTTTTTCACAAGATGTTCCCCAATGAGACCCATCACTATTTGGGCATTCTTGAGTTGCTACTGCATTTCAGGTGGACCTGGATTGGCGTGATTATTTCTGATGATGACAATGGAGAGGGGTTTATACAGCATGTACTTCCCTTATATTCTCAGAAGGGTATTTGTGTGGAATTCTTAGAAACAATACCCAAAATAACCTTTTCAAGTAATATTGCTGAAAGTGCGACAGAATGGTTTGCAACTTCACGTATTGTCACAGGAAGTACTGCCAATACTGTTGTCATTCAAGGTGAAATACATACTATGAGTGTCTTAAGAACAATTTTCCAATTCTCACAATTTTATGATATAAGAATTGAAAGCCGAATGTGGATTATGACAGCCCAGATGGATTTTGCATCTCCTGGTTTTCTAAGAGATTGTGAAATACATTTCCTCCATGGAGCTCTGTCATTTGCTGTTCATACAAATTTCCCTATTGGGTTCCAGAAATTTCTGAAGGAAAGAAACCCATTTTCAGAAAATAAAGATGGCTTTATCCAAATCTTCTGGAAAAATGTGTTTAATTGTGATTTCTCAAATTCCACTCTTGAAGAGAGAGATGAAGAGATATGCACTGGGGAAGAAAGGTTGGATAGTCTACCGGGAACACTGTTTGACACAAGCATGTCTGGTCACAGTTATAGTATCTACAATGCAGTTTACATTATGGCATATGCTTTGTATGCCTTAACTTCATCCAAGTCAAAAGAGAAGGCAAAGATAAAAAACATGAGACAAGAGTATCTACTTGAAAAAGCCTGGCAGGTATCTTCCAAAACAATGTAGAAGGAGACAGAAAAGATAGTGAAATAGTATGCCAATAATAGTATATGGGAACAACATGTTACCTAGAAGCACCAGGAAAGAAATATAAAACAAACAAAAATGTAGTTCTTCTTATACCTCTTAAATGCCTATGTAATTCATTATCAAAACTCCCAAGATATAATGATGGCTATCAGTTCTTTGGTTCTCAGCCTTGTAAATGGTCCAATTCTCAGAGCCATACATTACTACTGGGAAAACCATAACTTTGACTCTATGGACCATTGTCATGCAAGATGCAGAAGAAAATATAATCTATCACTGATTCCCATTTTTCCCCTTCTATTTGCCAGAAAGTGATGGAACCAGATACCATGATTTTAGTTTTTTTTCTAATGTTGAGTTTCAAGCCAACTTTTTCCGTCTCTTCTTTCACCCTCATCAAGAGGGTTTTTAGTTCCTCTTCACTTCACATCCAGGCAACTGACTTGAATGATGTCTCCTCCTTTTCCAAATTCAGTAGATGTTGTCCCTCAAAGATCATTCATCTTAGTTTTAAATTGTATTAGGACTATTATGAAAGTTCTCTTAGAATCATTTTTTCTTCTACCTTCTCTCCAATTCAGCTCCACAAGTTTATAAGAAGTACTTCCTTTATAAACAGTGCTGGAGAAAATATTTCCTTTGATGACAAAGGACATATAATTGCCGGATTTGATATTTTCAGCTGGGTCACATATTCAAATAACACATTTACAAAAGTCAAAGTTGGATGGGTAGACCCAAACTCTTTCTCTTCCAAAGCACTCAACATTCATGAAGACTCCATGATATGGCCCACAAGATTTAACCAGGTATATATTTTGTATAGATTTAAGAATGGTTTAATCTATATTCTGAATATACAACAAATGTGACTGTCAATTTATTCAGTTATTGTACTTGCAATTTAAATTGGGATCTGCTCCTTAGTTCAATTAGATACCCACATCTTGAGAACTTTTTGAATAACTTTTTAAAAAAGGGTTATGCTTCTTAGGTCTTTCTCATTAAAATTGGTCAACATTTTTAGGAAACCATTGTATGACCTAGAAGATAAATGATAGATAGACAGACAGACAGACAGACAGACAGACAGACAGACAGACAGACAGACAGACAGACAGACAGACAGACAGACAATTTATTTATTCTTCATATTTCTTAACAACCCATCTCTTTTGGAAAGTGTACAATATACAATTTAATCAGATATACACAATATTTTATATAGATTTGAGGGTGAATTAACCACATTCTGAATAAAAAATATTCCTTACCTTATAGCCACAATTGGGCCTGAAATTTTGGTAGTAAATCCTTGCAGTTTTAAGAAGAGGCCACACATGACCAGATTTGATTTTATGACCATTTTAAAATGGTTATTAAGAAAATACACATCCACATCTAATAGACATTTTTATCAGAAACTAAAAGGACCATCCGAAATCACAAAAAAGTCACATATTTTGTTCGTGGGACCACAGGCTACTGCAACTGGTTGTAGGTGAACAAATTGCCAATCACCCAAAATGGGATTGTGTGACTGTGGAAGGGGAGCAACAGTAATATCTTTGTGGACAGTCATAAGTAGCTTTTTAAAAGCCCGTCATAACTTAAAAGGTTATTAAATGAGGGATGATCTACTGTTTTTATTGTAACATCAATAACCCTATTCAGAAACTGAAATCATGTTTTGAATTGAAATTGTTGAAGACTGGAATAGCTACAAAAGTGAAAATGCCAGGGATTAGAATATTCTTTAGTTTAGAGAAAAGAAAGACTGGGGTGAAATGATAGCAGTGTTCCAGTATTTGAGGGCTGCAACAAAGAAGAGGGAGTCAACTTATTTACCAAAGCACAAGAAGGCAAGACAAGAAGCAATGGATGGAAACTAACCAAGGAGAGAAGCAACCTGGAATTAAGGAAAAACTTCCTAACAGGGAAAACAATTAACCAGTGGAACAGCTTGCCTTCAGAAATTGTGGGTGCTTCATCACCAGAGGCCTTTAAGAAGAGACTGGACACCTGCTTGTCTGAAATGGTATAGGCGGTGGTGGGATTCAATCGGTTCGCACCACTTCAGCAGAACCGATAGCTAATTTTTTGTTGCCCAGGCCCAGAATGGACTTCCAAAAGTGGCATCCATACAGAGAACTGGTTATTCACATAACTGAATCCCACCACTAGGTATAGAGTGTCCTGCTTGAGCAGGGGGTTGGACTAGAAGACCTCCAAGATCCCTTCCAGCTCTATTCTGATTGATTGATTGATTGATTGATTGATTGATTGATTGGATGGTTGGTTGGTTGGTTGGTTGGTTGGTTGATTGCAGAAAGATTCTACAGGTGACTAGTAAAATACTTTCTATGTTGTTGTCAAAGAGCTGAGCTTAATATTAAGTAGAATGAGGCTATTGCCTTGGATAGGTGACCAACGTATGAATTACATTGAACCCAAATCCCTGTCTGCTGCACTTCAAATCATAGCTTGGTAAGTATCTTTCATGATAACCAAGATGTGCTGCACCCTGTAAATGCTTGTCATGACCTCTTGGCACACACACCATGTAAAATGAAATCATTATGATCTCTCATTCTGATGGTCCCCACGTCTAGATATGTGTCTGTGTTTCAGTAAGCACAATGCCCCTGAGCATGGGAAAACTACCAAACTGATTGTTCTTTTTAATTTTTCATCTCCTTCACTCAGAAAAGACCTCATTCCCTATGTAATGACAATTGTCAATCTGGTTCTAGTAGGGTCAAAATAGAAGGAAAGCCATTTTGCTGCTATGAGTGCCTTCCATGTCCAGAAGGAAAGATTACAAGTCAGAATGGTAAGATTTCTTCAGTTTATAAATATTAATTATTCCATGAAAACCTGTGTGAAATAAATTCAATATTTATGTAATATTGTGTATGTTATGTGCTCTCAGAGATAATATAGGGATGGTTGGGATGAAGTGAAATGAAGGAAACTATTTTATCTCCTCCCTAATTAACTTCCCAGGAACAATGAACCTTGTCATCTCAGCCTTAAGACATCTAGCCAATTAATGTCGATAAAAACCAGATAAATACAAAGAGGAAGGCATAGACTCTCCAAACTAAAGCAAATTTAACAGTAGGTCTAGAAAGATAATAATAATAATAATAATAATAATAATAATAATAATAATAATAATAATAATAATAATAATAATAATAATAATAATAATAATAATTAAAAAAAAAAACGTTGGAAGGGACATTGGAGGTCATCTAGTCCAACCCCCTGCTCAGGCAGGAAACCCTATACCATTTCGGACAAATGGCTGTCCAGTTCCTTCTTAAAAACCTCCAGTGTTGGAGTATTCACCGCTTCTGGAGGCAGGTTGTTCCACTGGTTAATTGTTCTCACTGTCAGGAAGTTTCTCCTTAGTAATAGTAATAGTAATAGTAATAATAATAATAATAATAATAATAATAATAATAATAATAATAATAATAATAATAATAATAATAATAATAATAATAATAATAATAATAATAATAATAATAATAATAATAGTAAAGTTGGAAGGTACCTTGACGGTCATCTAGTCCAACCCCCTGCTCAGGCAGGAAACCCTATACCATTTCGGACAAGCTCATATTGTCTAGTTGTTCTCTAAAAACCAGCATTGCCTTTCTAGTTTTAAATTAATCATATACCTACTACTCTATCCAATCAAATGCATATTCTAATTGTCATAAATTTGCATCGCCTCAATTTATAGGTTAGCCAGGCTAACTACAGTTCTGTAAATAAGCAATGAAAGTGTGGACTGGTCTCCAGTTAAAAAAACCTGCAAGATGAATAACTTTTCTCTCACCAGAATCTATTCTTTTCTCCTATTTGAAAATGATACCTTGAGATATTATGCCTTGATATATACTTATAATGAGCTAGGAATTCATTTTCCAAACACTGAGATGAAAGACTGGATTTTAAAATGTTTACTTTTACCTTATATCTATTATGTAATATTTATGACTTCAGGTGCCACTTTATTTTAATATTTTAAACTATGCAAATAAAAGATAAAGGTAAAGGTTTCCCCTGTCCAGTTGAGTCCGACTTTATGGGTTTGTGTGCTCATCTCCATTTCTTAGTTGAGGAAGCCAGTGTTGTCCAAATACATTTTTGAGGTCATGTGGCCAGCACAACTATATGCCAAGGCATATGGACCTCTGTTATCTTCCCATTGAAGTGCTACCTATTTATCTACTTACATTTGTGTGCTTTCAAATTGCTATGTGGGCAGGAGCTGGGGCAAGTAATGGGAGCTCACCCTGTCATGTAGCCACTCAGGTCTCGAAGCCAGGTTCTCAGCTTTCCAGCTGACAAGCTCAAGATCTTTAACTGCTGAGCCACCCTTCCCCCAATGAAAATAAGCAAAACAATAAAAATACTTTGATCATATTCTGTACCAGTTCTAATATTTGGTAGCTTAATCAAAGAGTTAATCTAAGTTCATTTCTATACAGTTTCATTGACTGTATTGTAGAGGTTGTCTATTAGTGCCCTTATAATAGCTAATAATTGTATATCACTCAGGGAGCCTCCAATTGAAACATTAACCAGAGGCCATTATGCTATATTCTTATTTTTTCAATATTACATATGTCTTAATTAAAACAGTATCTTCTACATTGTAATAAAAGCAATGTATTCATTCATTATTTCATTCATTTCCACAGATATGGATGATTGTTTGCCATGCCCAGAAGGACAGTATCCAAACAACAACCATGACTCATGTCTTCCAAAACATACAGTTTTCTTGTCTTATGAAGATCCATTAGGAATCAGTTTGGCCACTGCCACAATCGTCTTTGTTTGCATTGCCATTGTGGTGCTTGGGATCTTCATAAAATACCAGGACACTCCCGTAGTCAAGGCCAACAACCGGAACATCACCTACCTTCTTCTCATCTCCCTTTTGCTCTCATTCCTTTGTAGTTTTTTATTCATTGGAAAACCTGAAAAGGTGACCTGCCTTTTGAGACAAAGTACTTTTGGAGTTGTCTTCTCAGTAGCCATTTCTTGTATATTGGCCAAAACCATTGTTGTGATTTTAGTTTTCATGGCTTCAGTGCCAGGATCGAAGTTGAGGCAATGGTTAGGCAAACCATTAGATAATTATGTTGTTGTTTCTTGTTCTCTCATTCAAGTCACTCTTTGTGCTATATGGCTTGTAACCTCACCCCCATACCCAGATGCTGATATTAACCTAGTGGCTAATGAAATCATCCTGGGATGTAATGAAGGCTCTACTCTCATGTTTTACTGTATTTTGCTCTACCTGCTTTTCCTTGCCATTGTTGGTTTCAGTGTGGCTTTCAAAGCACGGCATTTACCAGACAGTTTTAATGAGACCAAGTTTATCTCCTTTAGCCTGTTATGGTTTTGCAATGTTTGGTTGTCCTTTTTTCCAACATATCTGAGCATCAAAGGAAAATACATGATGGCTGTGGAGATCTTTTCTATTCTTTCTTCCAGTGCAGGGTTACTGGGCTGCATCTTTTTTCCAAAATGCTTTGTTATTCTACTAAGGCCTAATATGAATAATAAAAAACAGTTAATGAGAGGCAACAAGTACAATTCCATGATAGTCTTTCAGTGAAAGATATGTTCTCTCAAGACCACATTTAGAAACTAAAAGTTGTTCAAAACAAACACATCAGAAGTCATGTCATGTCAATTCATCTATCCCTTGTTGTTGCTCTAGGCCAGGGGACTGCAACCTTAAACACTCAAAGAGCCACTTGGACCCGTTTCCCAGAGAAAAGAAAACACTGGGAGCCACAAAACTTGTGCGTGCACATGCACGCAAGGGGTGGGGACCTTGATTGAAGAGTTTAATTAAAAAGAAATAGAGGCTGCTCTGCATGAGTTCTCTCTCTCTCTCTCTCTCTCTCTCTCTCTCTCTCTCTCTCTCTCTCTCTCTCCCTCTCTCTCTCTTCCTCTCTCTTTCTCTTTCCTCTCTCTCTATCTTTCCTCTCCCTCTCTCTCCCTCTCTTTCTCTCTCTTTCCTCCCCCCTCTTTTTCTCTCTCTTTTTCTTTCTCTCCCTCTCTCTCTTTCTCTCCCTCTCTCTCTCCTCTCCCTCTCTCTTTTTTCTCTCTCTCTCTTTTCTTTCTCTCTTTCTCTCCCTTTCTTTCCCTCTCCCTTCCTCTCCTTCTCTCTCTCTTTTTCTCTCTTTTTCTCCCTCTCTCTCTTTCTCTCCCTCTCTCTTTCTCTCTCCCTCTCTCTTTCCCTCTCTCTCTTTTTTTCCTTTCTCCCCTCTCTCTCTTTCTCTCTTTCCTCTCTCTTTCTCTCTCTCTCTCTCTTTCTCTCTCTCTTTTCCTCTCTCTCTCTCTCTCTCTCTCTCTCTCTCTCTCTCTCTCTCTCTCCCTCTCTCCCATCTTCTGCTCACCTGGCAAGCTGGCTTCAGGCTGTTCTGCAACAAGCTGACACACATTATTGGGCTGGCTCTCTCCTGCCCTTCCTGCTTCCTGCTTCCTGCTTCCTGCAGAGACGCAGCAAAGGGAGGAGCCCCACCCAATAAGTTTGTCAGCTTGTCGGAACAGCATGAGGCCACTCTCTTTTTTATACACACACACACACACACACACACACACACACACACAGAGAGAGAGAGAGAGAGAGAGAGAGAGAGAGAGAGAGAGAGAGAGAGAGAGAGAGAGAGAGAAGGGAAGCAGGGAAATGCAAATGCCTCTCTCTGTCTCTGTCTCTCTCTCTGCAAATGGCAGAGGAGGCTGGGAGCCTCAGAGAAAGGCTCAAAGAGCCACATGTGGCTCTGGAGCAGCAGGTTGCTGACCCGTGCTCTAGGCACTCACCAAAGTCCCTTCCCTTGCACCATACTAGAAATAGCCACCCCAACTTTAATATGCAGAACATAAACAATGAGCTACCTATTATACTGAAATAGGTATTTTCATTTTCTTTCCTTTCTTATATTTAAGTTAATAATTTTGAGAATACATTAACATGCTGAACTTTGGCAACATTGAAAAAAAAATACATCAATATTCAAATTCCAGTGTCATATTTGTGGTCATCCTGTTTCTGTTTGTTATGCTTTTCCCCAAATTATTCCTAATAATAACACCCTTGGCAAAGGTTCAGGCCTACGGGTAGCTGAAGATCCAGGTGTTCCTGGTTCTTGACTATCACTTGAAAGATTCATTTCTTTTATATCCTGCAATCCTATCAACCACTTGAAAAAGTGGGGTTTTACTAACTCTCCATAAATTTCATTAGAAGTCTTGGATAGTTAACACCATGTCTTCTGATCACAGAACTTCCCATCCCTCCACTCAGCACTAGAAGCCATCTGACCAGTGGTGCCTGTTCAATCTGTGGTCATTGTATAGTTTGATGGAAAACTTAGGAAGTAAACTGTGATGGAATGTAATAAGGAGCTGGATTCCCAGAAGAGAGGGGATGTTCCAGAGGAGTGAGAGGCAACTCAGTGCAGATGTTACATTTGAGAAAAGAAGGTGAAGACACCTGCACTCTAATAGTTCACAGAGTACACTGTAGATGCATATAGTAGAATGTTCAGTCTGGCAAGATTGATGTCAGGCCCAAAACCAAGATTGACACCTGGTGAAGTAATGGTTGGAAACTAACCAAAGAGAGAAGCAACCTAGAACTAAGGAGAAATTTCTTGACAGTTAGAACAATTAATCAGTGGAACAACCTGCCTCCAGAAGCTGTGAATGCTCCAACACTGGAAGTTTTTAAGAAGAGACTGGACAGCCATTTGTCTCAAATGGTATAGGGTTTCCTGCCTGAGTAGGGGGTTGGACTAGATGACCTCCAAGGTCCCTTCCAACATTTTTTTATTATTATTATTATTATTATTATTATTATTATTATTATTATTATTATTATTATTATTATTATTATTATTATTATTATTATTATTATTATCCTAGACTCTTTTCACTGCCTTGCAGAATCATTCATTTGGTTCTCCATGAGAAAGGGGACATGGAGTGGGAAGCTGGGAACTGAACCATAAAGCCCATATGTTTGTTTTTTCACTTTATGATTTTTCTTATTTATTTAGTTATCAAATTTATATTACTGCCCATCTCATGGAAAGTGATCTCCACGATAATTGATAAATAAAATTATTATAAATCAAAACATTAAACACTCTAAATGTAGACCTAACAAGAGAAGAAAAAATAATACATGGAGGAATGTCAAAAATAATGGAGCCACCTCATGAGTTTTGAATCCCCTAAGGATCCCCATCAGGTCTTGTGAGACCTTCAAAGGTTCTGGACCTTTGGCCAACTCAGCACTTGGGTAAAGGTTTTCACAATGTAGGCACCATTGCAGAAAAGTCCTGTCAAATGTACTCAACTTTGTATCTCCATTCTAGTCTGACTGAGCAATGCAATAGATGTCTTGTCCCAGTGTCTGGAGGCTGTAAGGGTCTGTATGGAGTGTAATGGGGTTCAACTCAACCCAAGGAAGACTGAGTGGCTTTGGGTATTTGAGCCTATTGATAAAAAGGGTTTTCCACCACTAGTCCTGGATAGGGTGACAATACCTGAGGGGAAAATGGTGCACAATCTGGGGGGTCTTCTTAGACTCACAGATCCTGCTACAAGAGCAGGTGACAGTCCTGCTCAGAAGGGCTTTGCACAGCTTAGGATGGAAAACCAGTTGTGCCTGTTGCTGCATTGGGTGGCTTTGCTCATGACTTTCTGATCTCTTGTCTGGACTACTGCAGTCCATTCTATATGGGGCTTCAGACAGAAGTTTAATCTGTTGCAGATTGTGGCTCCATGGTAATAAAGGGTGTTGGATATCCAATACAAGTAACACCACTACTTTGTGAGCTGCATTGTTCCAGTGCAGGGGTAGGCAACCTTGGCTCTTTTATGACTCGTGGACTTCTGGGAGTCATAAAAGAGCCAAGGTTGCCTACCCCTGTTCCAATGTAATTCTGGGTTCAATTCAAATTGCTGGTTAGCACCTTTAAAGCCTTTCATGGCTTAGGGAACATTTTCCTCCAGTCATTTCTACCTGTCCATTTGGTCAGACAGGTTGGGAGATATTGCAATCCCATCAACCAAGGAATATCAGCTGGTGGGAATTGGGAGAAGTGCCTTCTGTAGTATAGGCTCTGCATTCTGAATTTTCTCCCTTCAGATATTGGGATGATCCCAATCCTGTTGGCATTTTTGTAAGGTTATAAAGACTTGGTTGTCATGGTGGTGCAGTGGTTAGAATGCAGTACTGCAAGCTACTTCTGCTGACTGCTGGCTGCCTGCAATTCGCTAGTTCGATTCTCACCAGCTCAAGGTTGACTCACCCTTCATTCTTCTGAGGTCAGTAAAATGAGGACCTAGATTGTTGGGGGCAATAGGCTGATTCTGTAAACCACTTAGAGAGGGCTGCAAAGCACTGTAAAATGGTATATAAGTCTAAGTGCTATTGCTATTGCTATTGTGTGACTGGGTCTAGAGTCCAAAGTGTGTTAAGGGCCCCATTTCCTGCCTGTATTATTACTCATAGTAATAGTTTTACTTGGTTGCCATGGATATTTATTTTGTACTATTTCAATTATTTTAAATTTTTAAAATTGTTTTATGTGTTATGATGTACACAGCCCAGAGTCACTTGTTAAGATGGGTGGCTATTGAAAATAATTAATTAAATACATACATACATACATACATACATACATACATACATACATACATACATACATACATACATTACATACATACTGCTGTCTATGTTGTGAAAATCTGCTGGGAGGTCAAATTAAGGAAGGATGGATACTTCATGCATAGCATTCTATTCCATGCATAGCAGAAGTCATCCCAAAAATTGGAGGCTATTTCTCTTTATGCAGCCAAATAAATAGTTTTCCAAATGTTTAGCTAACACAAAAATACTGCAGAAGTCTTGCAGCAATATAATTCATGAACTATCTAGGTTTACAGGAAGATTATTAATATGGTCCACCTGAGATTCAAAAATATGCCAAAATTGCCCTAAATTGGAAACTGGCAAGGAAAAATGGAAATAAATGAATGAATAAATAAACATTTCTTTTTCATGGCTCTTTCAAAAGGCCTGTTTTTTAAGTTATTGATTCTTTTTCTTAATAAGGGATATTACACATCTGGGATTCCTCTTATATTTAGAAAGTAAGATAGCAGCTGAGCTGTTAGAAGCATCGATGGGTCGACCTCTGAAAACATTATGGTGAACTCAGAATGCCAAGTTGGTCATTATTTCCTGACCAGGTCATAATTATGAAATAACTGTGTTTAATGCTATCTCTTCCTAGCTAGTCCCTTGGGATGGGAAGATACTTAACTATACTAATACTTCATATCTCACCTAGAGTTGAAGCTAATGATAGGCAGGCTTTCACACCCATGATCATTTACAGTAAATATTGTACAGTTTTGGCTTTAGATGAGCTATGTTTTACCTCTTGACTCAATAGTATTCAAATGTCAGTGAAGGAACAGACACTTTGGAAGAAAGCAGGAAATGTTTCAGACAAAGTGGTATTATTTGTGGCCCTGGTGATAGGTATACGGACTCTGCCTCATGGCTTAAGTAAGGTTTCTATTGCTAAGTGT